TACATGATAAATAGGGTAACCCTAGACACAATATAATCATGATAAATAGGGTAATCCTAGACACAATATAATCATGATAAATAGGGTAACCCTTGACACACTATAATGATGATAAAATAGGATAAATATCCTAACATTTTCAACTATAACTGTTTAGATGGCTTTACAGTGAGTGAAAGAGTTTGCGAAAATACATTATGTGACATCAATAGATTGAGGTGAGGATATTGTCATATTACTTGAGTTAGGACTCTTGAACATTGGTACAAAATGGACTTTATGCATAAGCTATCTACTGCAAGGATTTTTGGAGGTTTAAAATATTTATGAAAGCACACGTTCAAAACCCAATTATCACTTAAACTTCATTGTAACAGCACAATAAGTGGTCAAACTTTTGAAATGTATCACTAGTTGAGTAGTATTACACTTGTTGACGTTGTAGCCATCCTTGAGTTTGGTCACTGAAAATTTGGAAGGCTATTTGGAGAGTGATTATGCGTATCACATTTGTTTGTTGTAATGAATTTCTTTTTTGGCATTATTACATTCGTTAATCATTGCTTAAATAATAATTTTTACATTTGCAGATTGTTGATAAACTGCATTGGTATGTTCAGAATGGTGATACAGTAAGTGCTGATTGATATACAAGTACTTAATTTATTTTCTGCATTTACACAGGTTTTTGTTATGCTAAGTAATATTCTTGAAACTTGCCTTTTAACTGTATAAAATGGCATCATGTGATCCATATAGCTGACCTCACTTAGTGGGATATGGTTTTGTTTTTATTATTGTTTGCGCAATTTTTTGCATTAGTTGTAAGATTTCATAGTGATTAGAGTGAAGATAGTCCTCCAAAGGCTTGTGCAGGCATGAAATTTACTATAATGTTTTCTCAAAGCATAGAACTGATCTGACATAGTAATTAATTATGCTGGAGCACAGCACACACCTCCAAGGGTGATCACGCTGAAGCAGTACTTTTTGCGGTCAAAATTGTTCGAAGATGGTTTCCGGAGCTGGCAAATTGTGCTTCGCTGAGATTTATAGCTTTTGTGCTTTGTTCCAATCTCTTGGTTGCAGTTACTGGTAGTGGGTGAGAAAATAGGGATGACCTATTTCTTACAAACAACCCTCGCTAAAAACAAAACCATACCTTTTTTTTTACTGTAGAGTTTTAGTTTCAAGATAAGACAAATTATGTTTCGAATTGGACCATAATTATTAACGTTGCTGTTTGGATCATCAGTTTTTAACTATTGGACCCTTATTAAAATTTTCTGATCTCTTTTGATCAAAATTTGAAAAAAAAAATGCAAAATACTAATTTAGATGCACTTTCAAAAGTTTTATTTTTCTAGTCAAACTTAAATGGAGATATTTTAAACATTGAAATAAAAAAGTTTTTTATTAAGACATTTTTTAATTTAGGCTTAATTTAATAACAGAAACCTGTAACCTATGATAAATTTTATAAAGGGCTGATCTAGTATTGCTCTGTATCAAATAAAAATATTTAGTTAATCTGATATATATATTTTTTATTTGAATTAATGGTCAATATGTTTGTATCAACAAATCTATAATGAACCTAGTAAAATGTGATATAGTTTTAACTAATATATGATTAACTTTTTAGCGTTTTATTTATTGTAAATGTTAATATTATTCTGCTTTGTCATTAAAATACCATCTTTCTGTTTGTTTGTCCTAGTGTAGCATTTTTGACGGTAGCTGCGTCACGCCCATATTATATGGGTCTGACATTGGGTGGTTTTTGTTTTTAATTTCCTTTAGGTACTTATTATTTAATTCTTTTGTTTCCTTTTGCTAAATAATTGGTAGGAAGTGAAGGATGCGAGTTTTTACAATTCTATGTTTGCGTGACTTAATAGTATACATCTGGAAATACCATTTCCTAATTTCCATTCTAATTTCTTGCTAATTTTGAATGTTTTGGAAGATACTTAAATGCTTGTTTTCACATTTTATTTTTGTTTTAGACAGTTACAATAGTTATAGGTCCACCTGAATGTTTTTTGTCATTGTATATAGCAAAAGATCAGATTTTACTTGTGGAATTGTGACTTTATCGTCTGGTGGTGGTGGATGGTATTATTGTTAAACATCTACTAACTTTAATAATACTTACCTGACTGAGGATAGTTACATTGTGATCAGATTGTGGACTTCTGTTGTGGTGCTAATGACTTCAGCATTCTTATGAAGAAAAAGCTTGAAGAGACTGGAAAGAGATGCTCATACAAAAACTTTGATCTACTTCCAACGAAGGTGATTACACTTCTACAAGTTTTTATAACTTATTACTCTAAACGCTTTAATTCAATTTTTCTCATTGCCACTGCAATGTTGATTCTAAACTAACAGATTTATTTATATTTTAATATTGAGAGGCTGAGAAAAAAATATTAGTGAACATTGAGAAGGAATTTGTGGACAATACTTTGTCTGTAGACATGATTTACAATAGGTTATTTTGGAGTTGTTTCATATATGTACGCTATCCCACCTTGCCTGAAAAAGTTAACCGCTGATGCTGTTAAGTGTGAACATCTTTGACACGTTGGCAGAGGTTTTCAACGTTCATCCAGTTGTATTATTTTAGTTTATCAATTGTCTACTTTGTATTTTATGCTACTGACCCATGGTATTTGATTACTCAAGCCCTGAATAACTCTACTGATTTCATGAAATAGGATTATAGTTCTTAAGTGTCTGTATTGACATATGCTTTTATTTTCATATTATTGTGTGCAACTACATATGAATTTGGTTTTTTTTTTTTTAAATTTTTTTTGGGTTTTATTAACATTGATAATGACAATTATCTCATCGAGTGGCAAGATGGGGAATGACCCATTATTGCATATAAAACTGGTTAATGAGTCCATTCCTGGGAAGATTTTGATGTACTTAATATGAGCAGAAGCATAACATGTCATAATGTATCTTTTGAGTGTCATATTTCAGAGTTTTTTTAAAATTTCATTGTTCTTAATTTTTCATGTCTAGCCAGATTTTTCCAAATTGTTCTAAACAATAAATGCATATGATGAAGTTAAAGTGTGTGGCGTACAATATAGTTTTAGTAACTTGTCACTTATTCTTCAGGAATATTTCATTGCTATTGAAATCTCTCTCTCTCTCTATATATATATGTGTGTGTGTATTTCTGTTTAGCTGCTTTTGAAGACTGAATTACACTTTGTTGAGGTATTATCTCATTTTTGAGGTTTAAAGGTTTTTTGTGCCTTTCTCCAGCTTTGGAGCCTAATTGATATCTTGTAATAATTGGTAGGCTGTACAAAACATCTCTATAAATTGTTGTGAAGTGAACAGGGTTAAGGTTTATTGAATGATATGGGCATAATGGTTCTTCGGCTAATTTTGATGAGTTAAAAAAAACATTACAGGATTTATTAGAGTAGTCGATGACTATTATATTATTTTTCCCTACCTGTTTACCAGGATTTTGTTTTGTTTTCAGAATGATTTTAATTTTGAGATGCGAGATTGGATGACTGTACAAACAAAGGAGTTGCCTACAGGGTCAAAGTTGGTAGGAATAACACACTCATTTTTAACGGTTGAGACATGTATACGCATAGCATGTCCACATGGCCAATTCACTTATTTCGTTCATTATTTTTATCTTCCGCATCTGGAACAGATCATGGGCTTAAATCCCCCCTTTGGACTAAAGGCAGCATTGGCTAACAAGTTTATAGACAAAGCTCTTGAGTTCAGACCGAAGCTCATGGTTCTCATTGTACCATCAGAGACACAGAGGTAACGTATTTTTTTCTTTTTTTTTTTTTTTTTTTTTTTTTTTTTCAAGAATAGAGAGTTAAACTTTCCCGTCACACTCTTGTCGATGTTGCTTCCTTGGTTGGAGGAGACAGACAGTTCATTTTCTTGTCCTGCCTTTTCATGTTTTGTTACTTATTATATGTAGGCTAGATGAGAAACGGCGTCCGTATGATCTTGTCTGGGAGGATGAGAGGTTTCTATCGGGCAAGGTAAAACACCTATTGATAATTTATTGTGGTAATTTATATTTGAATTTTATTTATACATGCTCGTTCTTGTTCTAACTGCTGTCTTTATTGTTTTCCCTGTTCTTGTCCTTGTTTGTCTTCAGTCATTTTATCTACCTGGATCAGTTGATGCTAATGACAGGCAAATAGAGCAGTGGAATGTAAAGCCACCCCCACTGTACCTTTGGAGTCGTCCTGATTGGACTAGCAAGCACAAGGCCATAGCTCGGGAGCATGATCACCTGATCAGCCAGCGTGAGGTGTCACCTTCCAGTCATACTAAGGAGGATAATTCCGATGTCAATATCAAGCAAGGTGATGACATCTTGAATTCAATTGATGCACCTATCAATGAAGGTCAGGTGAGATACTCACCACATGGAAGTGTTGATCGAGGGAGTCAAGAGAGACAATATAGGGTGAGCGATCCTGAGAATACCTCATGGAAGAGGAAACGACGTGAGGAAAATGATGAAAGAGGACTAGGTGTGACCTCACCAGTCAATCCAATTGATATGAGATCCTCAATTGAACGTTTGCAGCCTAAACATGACATGCCACCTCCAGATTTTGAGGTTGTTGATAAAGGTTATAGGAATTTGGAGCCTACCTCTTCCTCACATACAGGGGGGATTAGGGGATCCTATAGCGGGACCGACTATTGGCCAAGTGTTTCCAATCCCCTTTATGATTCTGGGGTTACAGGCGTAGATGGACGCCATGGCAGCCTTATGAGAGACACCGGATATAGACCCTATGTCAGGGAGGATGAGAGCAACCTTAGGGAACTAGGGACAAGGCAACATATTCGCCAATACGGGCTTCAGAATCCTAATAATGTGACTGGTAATTATCTATCATCTGTTCACGATCCTGCTTATAGACATGAGGGATTAAGTTATCCAGCCCATGGCTCATCATATGAGTCTCCTTATGCCATGAATGCACCAGCCATGCAGCGATATGCACCTCGTCTGGACGAATTAAACCACGTAAGGATGGATCCTCTGGGGTCTGAGCCTCCTCCTATAGTTGGACGTAGTGTGCCCCAACCTGGATATGAGAATTGGATGCCAGGTTTTGCAGGCAGTTCTCACCATCTCAATTCACGCCAGAATTCAGCAGACCGGTTCAACCAATAGCTTTGAACTTCCATTGTTTATCTTTCTCCCTTTAATTTTGGGTCAAAATGCTGTATGCCATGGGTTGTATGCTCTCAGCTAATCTAATCTTCAGTCCAATTCCTTCCGAAAGAACGTCTAGTTTTTTTTTTCTTTTTGGTGATTTCTGATTCCTTATGGTTAGTGGAATTGAGTAATCATCTGTGTACATACATGACCTTGGAGTGGGTAGATATTATGTGCCACTTACCTAACTACTGTATTGTCAATCAGAGTTCAAAATTTAGATTATCAGCCACTCACATTTGTTACTGTTCTACATTTTCTTCATAGTTTGAAGAGTAACTCCTTGCTTGTCAACTAGACATTTTAATACCTCTCCTTTCTTCTAGAAGCGCATTGCCCACTATTTTCACATTTTAATAGTTTTTAATCGAATTTATCGTTAGTTAAACACTATTTCATAGAACAGGTTAAGTTGTTTATTTTTTAAATTTGAAATATATTTTATATGTTTAAAGACATTTATTATGAATATGAATTTTAATTATATAAATTATAAATTTTTGCAGTATCCGTTTCTTAAAATATTTGGAAGCGAGATTCCAAGCATTTTTTTTATCAATGATATTGCTTATTTCTTCTTCACAAGAGTTCCACTTTTGAAATAAACTATCATTACTAATGAGCCTAATTAAATAACAAGTAATTTATAAATGATATCTAGAATATATTTTACTTTTATTTAAATGATATGCCGTTTGATTTTATCATTAATAAAAGTAAAATATTACTTCTAATTTTTTAATAAAAATTACCATAACACCAGTTATGTCGTTTATTTTCTCAAATTCAATATACAAGCCTACTTTAACAAATTTACTAAAATGAAAAATATAAAATATTTACTTAAAGTGTTAGATTGATCAGCAAGTTGTATAGCTTTTCGAGAACACCCTTTAAATTATTGGAAACACATGCTTCCATTATCTTTTCTCTTAATTATTTATTTATTTATCAATATTTAAATGATAATTGAATGATCTTCCCTTACACCAGAGTGTCAAAGAAACGATTTCCTATATTATATAAATTATTAAGATAAACTTGTATTTTGATTAGAAAAGTATAAAAAATAAATAAATGCCATATCCAAGTTTTGTTTATTTCAAATTAGGCTTAATACCTATTATGCTCCATATTTTCGTTAGGTGTGTTCGATTTGGTCCCATTTTTTTTTTATTCAATGTTGTCCTAAAGAATGTAACTTTTGTTCAATTTAGTCCTTTTTGCAAACGACGTTTAAATCGTTAATGACAGGCAGTCCAGGTGTGCACAAGACTAATGAGATGATATTTAACTACTGTCACGTCACCATCTTCTTCATCCTTCAGTCCAAACAGATACCGAAACCCTACTTTCTCTTTAGTCACCTAACCCTAGTGCTGCCACCGAACCATAATGCCACCGCCACAGAACTCGTCCAAAGTCATCATGCCGCCGTGAAGCCGCACCTGCAGAGAACCATGGCAGCTATCACCCGCAACCTCCATGGCCACCACCATCAAAGTCGCGATCTCCCCCAAATCATGAAACTCTCCTCAGGCCGCCGCGCTACATAGATCACTTTCACGCCTCTACCATCATAGGATTTTCTCAAACCGCCACTGTCAGCATCTCGTACCTGCAAATCAAACACAAGCACCTAGAAACAGAGAAAGCTAAATTGCACCACCCAAACTGCTAAGTCTTCACCGTCAATAATGCCGCAAGCCACCCTAATCTCGAACTCCATTCGAATCTTCATTCTCACGCATCAGCCATGAATCATCCAAATCGAGAGCTTCATCGTCTGCGTGACAATCCTTGCCGCCATTGCCCAAAGCTCCAGGGTCATCATCTTCTCCCACCTGTAGAGAACCACAACGAAATCCAAAAAAATCCCAAATCAAAGAAACCTAGAATCGCGCCGCTGCTTGCCTCCACCGGCCACCATGAGTGCTTTCTTACACAACTAGGTTCGTCTTCTTCATGCTACCATGAGCCGCACAATTCGCGAAATCATCCTCCAACAAAACCACGAGCAGCGTTTTCCTTCCTCTCGCGGCGTAGGCGCAGGAAGGTTTCCCCTAAAGGCAACACCCTATTTTTGGGGTGGTAAAGGGGCTACCACAGAGACTCTACGTGGCAGTAGTTAAATGCCATCTCATTAGTCTTGTGCACACCTGGACTGTTTACCATTAACAATTTAAATGCCGTTTGCAAAAAAGGACTAAATTGAACAAAAATTACATTCTTTAGGAAAACATTGAACTGAAAAAAAAAACTGGGACCAAATCGAACACACCTAACGAAAATAGGGACCATTAGAGGTATTAAGCCTTTCAAATTAATATTTCAGAACTAGATATGTGAAAAATGAATGTCAACCTCGCTTACCATGAGTGCTTTCCGAATCACATATAACCGGTCAATCTTGTTTCAAAATCAAGTTTTCATCCGAGTCAACTCGGGTAATGGTGTTGGAACGTAAATTTGAGTTTACGAGTTAACACGAGTTTGATAACTGTACTTATGTACTTATGACTGGTTGGTCAGTCATAACTTGAATAGTTAATTGTAACTCAGATTGTTAACTAGTGAATCTGGCCAGTCGTTGATACGGTTTCTCCCAACTGGTGAATGATATGCGGCAGCGGATGGATGACGGAATCGTGAGCAGAGGTGAAATCTGCTCACGGGATTCAATTGGCAGCGAAAGAAATGTTGTTCCGTGATGTTGATGATGGAGGAAGAGCTTAAGGTGATTGAGTAAACTAGCTCAGACGACCTTCACTGGAAGGAAGCTAGTTGGAGGAAAGAAAGCTCAAGCTATGGTGACTTTTGGCAGAGTCTCGGTTGCTGGAAAATGCTTCAGCAGAAGTAAAACTCATTAATCATCAAAAGTGTTTCTACAATCTGAACAAGGAGAATTTATAGTTGATTCTCCAAGCTTTGAATGGTGTAGATTAAATGAACAATACAGATATGGAAACATGTGGTAAATGTGTGAAACGTGTGAAACTTTTCTAGAATCAACATTTAGACACGTGGCAGAGGCATGGAATGCGTTAGCTGGCCATATGGCTCGTACCGAATTTGATGAGCTCTCGGTTTGGTGCGATGAGTGCTAACCATTATTCTTCTCTTTTTGAATTTTTGGCTATCCTTCCAGTGATGGTACCTTGGTGTGCTATGGTGCTTGGTCCCCGCGTATCATCCCCTCCCTCTTGGAAAGGATTTGTCCTCAAATCTGTTGGTTTGTCTTTGTGAGGACTTATTTTGTAGGATCCACCAAAGTTCCTCCCCGGTCAAATATGAATCTGCCATAATCATCAAACATAGCTCGAATTAGATTTATTTGACCCAATAAGATACATAAAAAAATATGTTTAGAATAAGGTTTCCTAGTTTTGAAAATTTCAATTTCGATACAATAAAGAAACCTTACTTCTTTTGAAATTTTATTTTTGTCTTGAGTTAGTTGTAACCACAAAGGTAACAATAACTCAAGTGAATTGTCACATTTTTCAAGTTGTAACATTGTTAAAGATGGAGTGGTAAATTCTTGGAAAGAAAAGTAGAATTTTGAAAACTTAAGGAGAGATGAAAAAAAAATTAAAGGATAGAAAACCTCCCCTTAAGAGTCCTGGTTCTATGAGGAGTGTGGAAAGAGGTTCTATTCTCCCTTCTTTCCTTCTTTTCTCTTCTCTTTGCTCTTGCTCTCTTTTCTCGTACTATCTTTTCTCTTGTTCTCTTTCCTCTTGCTCTCTTCTTTCTTGTTCTCTTTTCTCTTCTTCTTTTCTTTCCTCTTGCTCTCTTTTTCTTCTCTCTATTTCTTCTTTTTCTTGCTCCTTGTTGAGCTTCATTTGTGTTTGATCTTTGGCCACCTGGGTAGGTGACAGAGGATGAAGCACAAATTTCTTATCATTTTTGTGGCACAGTTATGGTATTGGTGAGACCATGGTGTGTAGTGTCATTATCAAATTGCCATGGTTTTCCAATGTACATGGCAAGCTTCCAGAGGAACTACATCACAATAACATCATCTTTGAAGTTTCCTATGGAAATTGCCAATTTAACTTGATTCTTGACTGTTATATCCCCATCTTGATTTAGCCAATGAGTTTGTAAGGTTTTGGATGGGGTATCACAGTAATATTCATTTTTTTCAACCAGCCTTGTGCTACAACAATTACAACAAGATCCACTATCAACAATGAGAGAACAATATTTTTCTTCAATTTGACATCTTGTGTGAAAGATGTTCTCTCTTTGTGATAAGTGTTATGGACTTGGTTGACTGTTAAGCACCCTTCTCACCATGAGAATGTGACCCCTCACAAGGATATCTTCCTCTTCATTACCCTCTTTCTTGCTCATCTTCCACTTTCACTAGGGGTTTCATTTTCACTGCTATAGTGTCACTACCTCTTAAAATGATTGTTCTTTTGGTAGACATTAAGCAGCTATGTGACCCCTACCCAAACATTTAAAACACTTGATCCCTAGTGCGAGTGTGTAAGAGGATTCCTGTTGGGTTTTTCAACTATATTGGCTAGAGGTTTGAGGGGCTCTTTTTTTCTTAACAATCTCTGTTCAAAGGGGGATTGAATCTTTACAAACTTTTCTCAAATTTTGTTGTTCTACTTATACACATTTGAACAAGATCATCAAATCTCTATAAGGTAGGAGTTCAACCCTATCCCTGATATCAAGATTCAACCCACTCAAAAATCTGGCCAAGGTAGTTTCCTCCCCTCTGTTATTCCTGCCCTCATTATGTATACTCCTCTTTTGTTGTATTCTTCAACAGACATAGACTGTTGTTGCAATCTTTGGAGCTTATCCATGAGTTCTCTTTTATAGTAGGAGGGCATGTGCCTTTTCGGACAGGGCATTTTAAGCTCATCCAATATTTTATTGGAGGAAGTCGCTGTCTTAGTCTCTCTGGACTGTAGCAGTCCACAGTACATGCATACCCTTGAAAACTTAGGGTAGCAAGAGAGACTTTTCTTTCTTCTCCTACTTGATGGCAAGCAAAAATTTGCTCTACCTTCATTTCCCAATCTAGGTAAGCCTCAACATTATCTTTCCATGAAAATGAGGCAATACCACATTAACTTCCTTAGGGGGAGGAGGATTTTCAAATTCCCTCCTATGTCTTCTTGATGAAGAGGGTTGATTAAATTCTCCTACTTTTAAGGCCTCTTGCTCATATTGGGGATTCCACTATAACTTCTCCCTATTTTGGAGCTGTTCCTCTCTCAAAAGTTTCAACTCATTTTCAACCATGGCACTATGTACTCTCTGTGACTTTTTCTTGACTTATTTTCTCTCAATCTCATTGAGTTGATTGACTAGAGTTTGGAATGA